CTCTACTGATGGCAGGGCCAGGAGAGGTGAAGGACACCCCCCAACCCCTACAACCTGCCAGTCAGGACCTTCCTGGCCACAGATGCCTCGGATCCCTGACTATCAAAACCCAGCCCCAGCCTTTCAGCTGAGCAGAGAAATACTCAGATCCAGTTCCTCAATGGTCAGGGAAGGCAGGCTTCCTCTGAAGCACAGATGGCTTCATCCCTTTCTCATCTCCTCACCTCTGAGCCCATTACAGCCACTGGGCCTCCCTTTGGCAAGGTCTGAGGGCCCAAATGTGGCCACCTAGCCTCTGGGGACTTCCTTCCTTTGGAGCTAGAAAAACAGCTGCAGAATGTGCCTGGCTGCAGCAGGGCCCCACCAGGGTGAGAGCAGCCTTTCCCAGCATCGTCCTTTAAGATGCGACAGAAACAGGTCCCACCCGAGCCAGCAGGAATGCGGCACCCAGCGTCTGCCTCTGCACAATCTTGATGCTTGCGGGTACCTTCAGGGTGAAGGACGCCCTGTCGTAAATGCATGAAGAGCCCCGCGTTTTGTGTATTGATGTTGATGTTCTTTCTTTAGAGGAACACTTGTGCGCTGTGGGAACCTGTGTGTCTACCAGTGTCACCCTTGCTGTGGGGAGTGTGTACCGTGTGTGGGGGCTGGTGACCTTTCCCTGCTGTCTGCCACAGCATGTGAGGGGCTCGCCAAGCCTCATACCTGCCCTCCCTTTCCCGTCCCCTCCTGCCCCAGGGAGGCCCAGACCCAGGGAGGAGGGGTGCTGGGAGTGAGTGACGAGGAGCTGGGGTCCTGGCCCTGCAGCCGCTGTCACAGCGCAGCCCCACCCCAGACCTCCAGAGTGGTGGGGCCCTGGTGGTGCGGGCTTCAGACACTCGGCCGATGCCAGGTCTGGGACCGAGGCCCCGTCTCCAAGGCCTTGGCTTGCTGTTCTGGAAGGTGGTGCTGGCCGGCAGCCATTCCCAGCCCCTCGGAGAGCAGTTGTCAGGCAGTCCCTGAGCTCCAGCGCCCCATCCCCAGCAGGCCCAGTGATCTCATGCCTGTGCCCCTGGCGCTGGGAGGAGCGGGGTGACACTAGGGCCAGTGCCCACATCAGAGGAGGAAGGTCTGAGGCCAGGGCAGGGGACAGGGTACGCTCCCATCCAGCAGCCCCAGTGCCCTCTCCGCCCCCTTCAGGGCTCCCCTGGCCCAGGGTGTGGAGCGGCGCAGCCTGACCAGCCAGGATCGCTTGGGGCATTTTGGAGGTTTGGCTGCCCAAGCTGTGCACCTAGCACTGCTCTCCAGGAGAGGGAGGGAGGAGGTCAGGGCAGAGGGCCTTGCTGACCGGGTCATTGTCACAGCCTCCATCTCTGGCCCTGGGTTCCTACAGGAGTGCCTGGGCTCTAAGCTGGAGCTACCCCATCCCAGGACCTTGGGGAGGAGGAGGCTGGGCGCCACCTGCTGGCCCACCAGGGAATTGACAGGGTTGGGGACTGTGGTCCATATGTTGACCCCAGATGAGAACCCTGACCCGCACTTACCCTACCCCATCCACCCTGCACCGTCCAGCTCAGTTCTCTGAGCCGTGGTGCGGAGTCCTATTTGCAATGGTGAATACTGAACTCGGTGCAACTCTGGCTGCTGGCAGCTGGGCTTGGCCTGCACCTTTCTGTCCGCAAACTCCACTGGGGACCCACCTTCCAGCCACCCCAGGGTGCCACCACCAGAACCAGGGGTCAGCCCCGCCTTCGTTCACTCCTACCCAGAGCCCACCTGTTCACGCTGCCCCCATCTGCTACCTGCAGCATCAGAAGGACATGAGGGCAACAAACAGCCCCTGCAGCTGGCCTCAAACATCATGGCCAAGGCTGTGCCTGGGAAGCGGACTCTCTGTGGTGCCAGCTCCCTCCTCAGTGCCCTTGATCTTTGTCTGGGTCCCTGCTTGATGTGACCCAACTGGCTGTGCCAGAGCTCCACAGGCACTGTCCCGACTCCCAGCCCCAGGAGGGAGGGTAAGGCTGAGACCACAAGAGAAGCAGACTCAGCCACACCAAGGGCCCCGGCACGGTGGGCCTCTCCTCCGAAACCTCAGCAGGCTTCACGTTCAAGTCACCAAGAGTGCACTTGCTGACTGTCGAGGGCAGGGGTGACTCCTGGGACTGTGCTGGGGTCCAGGGAGGACAGGTAGCAGATTGCCAGGGAAGCAGCTTGCCTGAGGTCTGTGGTCATGGCAGAGGCTTCTGCAGTGGCCCCGCCCTCTCCGGGTCCCCTCCCTCCTGTCCTTGTCCTCATGTTTACTGAAGACCATGAGAAGGGATGTGGAGAGCCCCTGCGGGAACTAAGAGCAGGAGCCTGGCTCAGCCCTGAGAGGCCCCCAGATATTCAGTTCCTAAACCCATAGGGTGGGGCATGGGCATAGGAGAGTAACCAGGGCTGCCTCGCACAGCCCTGCTCCTTCACCCTGTCTGCCTGGTGACCTCCTTAGCCTGCAGCCTCAGTGCAACCCGCTATGGGGTCATGCTGCCCCCTGCTGGCCACACTGCAAAACGCAGCCCAGGGTTGGGCCTAAGGCTACACTTGTCCCTCTTCCTGCAGCTGGGCTGGAGGGGAAAGCAGGCACCACACAACAGCCTGGATGCCCCTGCCCAGGAGGATTGTCTGACTGCATGGGGAGAAAAGTCCAGAACCATGCCTGGCACATGGTAGTCTTTGTGGAGTGAGAGGGCAAAAGTATGCATGATTGTGTGCATCTGAAGCATTTCAGTGCTGATGGCCTGACCAGTATTAGATATTTTTCAAGCAGGGATTTTGACTCCTCTTGGATTCACAATATCTTATTATGAAATCCAAGTAAGAACAGTCTAATGGCACCAGACAGTTCTAGGCTCTAGGTGAGCCTAGAACAGTCAGTGTTCATGTCGGGGACTGCAGCCTACTTTTCAGGGGAGGCTTCAAAAGAATTGAGGAACGGAGTTGATGGTAGGGATGAAAATCACAGGGCATGTTGAGGAGACCCCCTGCTGGCCATGTGGAGGGCAGGTGGGGCAACAGGAGAGCAGCACCTGCATCCTGAGGGCTTTCCATGCATCGGGCAGAGGGCCTGCCAGTGCAGAACCTGTTTTCTCTGCGTCCGTGACAGCCCTGAGCAGGTGCCATTGTGACCCCTGTCCTGCATTTGAGACAGAGGATGGATGGGGAGGGCTCTGTGGTTTGTTCAGGATCCCACGGCAAGGATGTTGTGGAGCTAAGAGTCAGACCTGGGCTTGGGAGACTTGTAGTGGGTTAAAGGCTTGAACACAGGGTTTTTGGCAGGAAGTGGTGGGCACAAGCACAGATTAGGGGCTGGGAGGTGGGGTGGCACATTACAGGCAGTTACTGCCACCCAGAGGGCAACATGGACGCTCCTCCTTTTACCTGCTGGGTATCCTATGTGATAGAAGGGTAGGCTGAAGTTTGATCCTTGTGGTCACACATCCCAGCTGTCACCTGCCTTACTGTGTGCCATGAGCCAGCCCAAAAAAGTCCCCACAGAGGAGGTATTAGGGGTGCTGGACTGGCTTCTCTCCTCCCCAGGTGGTGCCTGCCCTCCTGGGGCATTTCCCAGCGCTTCTTCCTCTGCAGCTCGGGCTCCCTGGGGAGGCAGATGTGCTCTCAGGACATCCTGGTGGAGCACAGGCACACGTCTGCCCTGGCAGGCCCACCCTGGGTGGAGGAGGGGCTCTGCATGCCAGGGTGCTCTCTCTCTCTGGCTGGCTTGCTTTCCACAAGCGTGGCCAGATGACGAGGCTCACCCGCAGCACCACCCACACCTCCAGGAAGGGAAGTTGATGGCAGGGCTCCGGCTGTGGCCAGGCCTGCGGGAGCTTCCTCCCTGACCTCTCTCACTCAAGGGGAAAGCTCGGGGCTGGGCATGAAGCCTGGGGAAAGGCAGGGAGGGCAGAGTCCCCCCAGCCTAGTCAAGGCCCTGATCACCCCATGTCTCCCCGAGGGAGCGGCTTTCCCCATGAAGGGGATCCTGGTCACCAAGGCGTGAGGACATGCCCAAGCGCCCATCACAACAGGCTCCAGATGTTCTGCACATTTGTGATCTTCTTGTCCCACCAAAGGAGGGGCCTCCTGTCCCAGATTTGATGATAGGGACAGTGGTACTGACCTCAGTGCTGTGTGATACCAGGCCCCCAGCCTTTGCCTGGTTCACGTCCCGCATCGCCCATCAGTCCCTGCTCCTTCAGTCTGGTACCTTGACCTGCTCAGTCCTTCCATCAGGAGCCACGTCCATTCACAGTGACTGTTGAATCTAATGACACCCAGGTGCTGCAAAGCCAGAGCAGCAGCCCCTGAAAGGGTGACTCTGGGGTCTCAGCCCATCCCCACTCGTGCTGGTGAGGGCTTCCCTCCTGCTGCCTTAGACTATCCTGTCCACCCTCAGAGACCCTGTCGGGAGGCTTCCCTCCAACAAGGCACCATCCCCAGAGGAAAAGGGAGCCCAGCACTCCCGGGACTCAGGGGCCCTCGGTCCACTCACCACTGCCACATGCCCCAGGGAGCCCTCTGAGCAGGGGCTGGGCCAGGGCCCCTGGGTTCCCATGGCCTGGGCGAGCATGGTGCCCTCTTGTAGCCGGGGCTGCCCGAGGGTTCCAGGCATCCTGTCATTCAGCAGAGATCTTTCCTTGGCGCCTTCTCTGGATTGGGTGGGCTGCTGAGTTCTGGGGCTGCTGCGGTGAATTATTTAATAGATAGATGCTTCCCTGGTCTCCAGGGTCCCCCTCTGGGAGAGCCAGCACAGGAGCTAACCAGTCAGAGGAGAAGGCGGTGTAGACCCACTGGTACAGGGGAGACCATGGGAGTGCTGGGCAAGACAGGGACTTGGCGGAACACATGAGATGAGGCAGCTGGGAGGTCGTCTTCAAGCTGAGACCTGAAGGGTGATAGAGAGCCAGGCAGGCTGCAGCGTGGGAAAGCCTGAGCAGCTGTCCCCCAACCCCAGCGGTCCCTCCCATCCCACCCACCCTCTGCAGGCTCGTGGAGGAGTTCATGCTCTTGGCCAACATGGCAGTGGCCCACAAGATCCACCGTGCCTTCCCCGAGCAGGCCCTGCTGCGCCGGCACCCCCCACCCCAGACAAGGATGCTCAATGACCTGGTGGAATTCTGCGACCAGATGGGGCTGCCCGTGGACTTCAGCTCCGCAGGAGCCCTCAATGTGAGTGGTGGGCAGGGTTCAGGGGAGGCTCTGCTTGGGGGAAAGAAGAGAAAGACCTGGAAGGTGGGGGGTCCAAGGGCCTCTGCTTCCCCCCAGAGTCCCTCCCTTCAGCCAGGTCTCTCCTATAGAGGAGGAAGGAGGCCGTGGGAGGAAGGGCCCCTCTGAGTCACAGGGGCCCTGACAATGGGACTTGCCCCCTCACCAGGACTGTGCCAAGCGGGGACCCTGGAGGCCTAGCAGAGGGCAGGGGTCCTGTGGCCAGAAAGGGCTGGTCTTGGGCCCAGAGGCTTTCAGAGTGTGGGGGCTGGAATTGTAGGAATCCCGGGAATGTTCCTGGTGGGTACTTTCAGGTGCTTCGTGCCCGGGGCGAAGCTAAGAAACCCAGGGCCTTGGCTCTGGTCCTGGAGGAGGGAGACATCTCACCCAGGCCTGACCCTGGGAGGGGAAGGCAGGTGCACTAGGCCCGAGAGCTGGAGCCCAGTGAGTCCAGGCCAGTCAGCAAGACATGGAAGGGACTAA